GCATAAAGTTTACAAAGATTTCCACATTTACTAACAAAATAAAGTATAATAATTTTAAAGTTATAAAAATAACTATAGATTAATATTTAAGAGTGAATTTCAAAACATACATCATCATAAATCTAACCATACTTCCTTCATAAATGAAGAAAATCACAATATCTTATTTTTACATGATAACCTCAGTATAGGCACTTAAGTGTTTATTACAAAAGAACCACAATTAAAACAAGTCAAAAAGTAATTTTTAGGAAAAATCAATCAATTAAAAAAAAGAACAGAAGGTAAGTATTTGTTTAAATTGACTATAAAAGCAGTGGGGGAATAATGCAGAGACTTGTGAATTATAAATCTCTCCTTACAACAAAGTTTAACAAAGCCCCACAAGGGCTAGATCAATTATCCAACAACTTACCTAAACTTTCTCTGTGTACTTCAAGTAAAAAGCCATCATGAAAATCTGGTTCGCAGGCACATGGAACAGGTTTAGAACGAAAACGTTGGTTTCGAAAATGTAAACATAAAGTGAAAGTCGAACACACTTGTCCTGGTAAAGGCTCAGGTTCTTGCAGATGTTCCAAGAAAGCTTTTCCACCCAAAACCTGAAGGTAAAGATACCTCCGTGTTGGATCAATATTAGCTGTAAAGTGTAGCAATATATATGAGGAAACTGCCAAAATAATTTAAGGAATGTGATCAAGACAATAGGAAATAGTAACTTGATAGGAATAAAACCAAAGACTAAAAACCAAGAAATAACAAATTTACTGTGTATAAGGATCATATATCTACTAGGAGAGATAAACGGGATAGAGGCAAGGTTTAGCATGGCTTTGTTATTTTTAGGTCTATATTCAACATTCCTTCATCTCCATAAACCAATTATCAGAGAGAAATTAGCACCCTTGTCAGCTAATCTATTGCCATTAAAAACACAAGGCTGCATAATTTTTAACAAAATTCATTTAAAAAAAAGTTCCCAGTTCTGCTTGTATTATACTGTACATTACCTGTCCACTGCCAGTTTATTCTGACTCCCAGCAATCCTATCTAGGTTTCTGACACTACATCTTTATAGGCACAGCCAGCCTCACCTGAGACAGTGGGCAACCTTTATTTAGCAGTCCAACAACGAACCCACAGCTATACATGAAACTTACATACTCATGCAAAACAGAAAATAAGTTTTTTAGTTGACTGAGCACAAATATTTCAATTTGAAAAATAAAAAAATCCCAAGAAACAACAGATCCACTATAACAGGGGTCCTCAAACTTTTTAAACAAGGGGCCAGTTCACTGTCCCTCAGACCGTTAGAGGGCCAGACTATAGTTTAAAAAAAAACTATGACCCTGGGGACGACATCAGAAAAGTGGGTGAAGGGAGACATCGGACAAGGCAAGATATGACAAAATAATAATTTATAAATTATCAAGGGTTCACGAGGGAGGGGGGAACGGGAAAGGATGGGGGGAAAATGAGGACCTGATGCCAGGGGATTAAGAGGAGAGCAAATGCTTTGAGAATGATGAGGGCAATGAATGTACAAATGTGCTTTACACAATTGATGTATGTATGGATTGTGATAAGAGCTGTATGAGCCCCTAATAAGATGATTAAAAAAAACTATGAACAAATTCATATGCACACAGCACACATCTTGTTTTGAAGCGAAAAAAACAGAATGGGCAAAAACACCTGGTGGGCTGGATACATGTCCTCGGTGGGCCACATGTGGCCGGCGGGCCACAGTTTGAGGACCCCTGCACTATAACATAGAGCTCAATAAATGAATATGAAGAACATATACACACATACTTTTTTTTAATAACGTTGATTGTCTATCAGAAAAACCAGCTGGTTGTTTTGGAGATGTAGGGAGATCTTGATCAACATTGTCCTGGAAAGGCAAAAGAAAGCAAAAAACAAATTAGGGAACAAAATTGGACTGTGATGAGTTGTACGGGCCCCCAATAAAATGATTAAAAAAAAGTTTGCATAAAACATGAAACTGGTGCTTTCACCTGTATTTCATTATCTCTTATATAAGTGCCTGCTTTTTAGTCGATTTCAATAAAATGTTGATAAGTGAAAAAAAACATGAAACTGGTCACACCTAAAAGTCTAATACTAAGGAATTAAGTTGCTTTCAAACAATGCTTCAAGAAGAAATGCTAAAAACAAATCTTTTATACTTTCAGCAAAGTTGATTTGATTTGTGGCTGGTCAGGAACAGATTTTAAGAAGGAAGCCGCATTCACACAGAACCTGCTATAAGGTCATTTTCAATAAGAAGTAGGTTTCTAGATCTCAAACACTAAAAAAGGATACTGTACTAAATATTTATTCCTTGGTGTATTGTAAAGTTCATTCCAACTTTTACATTAGGTTATGAAGCTATCGAGGTCACAGCTTCTCATTATTGCCTCGTTTTCAAAAGAAAGCCTAGTTACTAACTGTTCTGAGACACTATCACCCAGTTACTGACTTATTTGAAGGAACAGATTTAAGGGCTCTGAAGCAGTAATTGTTTTCTTAAAGAAATTAGTAATTTTTTAATGATACAGTCCCCTAAAAGTGTATTTAATCTGACCAATTTGAAAAAAATTATTGAACAATCTTAATGAACAATAATTTTATTATGGTGAACTAATTTGACTAAAACAAATATTCTTTAAGTTATAAGACTTACAGCATATTAAGAGAAAACTCGTAAACACGATATAGTCTCCAAAATCATAGAAATCATGGCAAGTAATAAACCCAAAACAACAAAACCACTGCTGTAGAGCCCATTCTAACTCAGCAACCCTACAGGACAGAGCTTACCTGACCCTTTGGGTGTTGGGGGATGTAAATCTTTATGGAGTAGAGCGCTTGATCTTTTTTCTATGGTACCACTGGTGAGGTCAAACTGCTGACCAGGGAATCCACGACACCCCCAGTGTTGCTCATGGCAGATACTATGATTTCCTACATTTAAAAGTACTTACTGTGTATTTAAAACAGATAGCAGACAAAATGGTTTTAATGGTTTTACTAAAAGGAGTGATCTCAAATATGCACCCTACAATGTCAGGCACGGGAATCTACTTACACTCAAATTTTTTCCCCTAAAGGAGTACTCACAGTAACAAAATTAAGTTCTTTCATCACATCATCAATGATTCCTCTACGTTTAAGAGCTTTGACCAAATCTTCTGTTGATAATTGCTGTTGATCAGGTGCCAATTCTTCACGTATAGTCTCAGCAAGGATCTCTCGTATTCTACCATGAACATCCATCTACGTAGAAAATTCCCATTACATTTTGTTTTTCTCCTAATGAGCACAGGTATCAAAGCAACCAAATACTACCAATCAACCAACTTCTCTCTAAAATGCTGGCAAAGTAACACAGGAAACAATAATGGGGTCCAACCAAAGCGCAATTTATGGAAATGTTGACACTATGTGAAAAACTTTCATTGATCACATGAAACTGTCAAACATGAACTTAACGTGCTGAGTAAACTTTCACTAAAATCTCAAATTATTATTTTAACAATTATGCTATGGGTGTGATAGAGAAGAAATCTATTGAGTTTGGGAACAAAAAGGCATTTTTTAAAGATTAAAATTTCAGTACAAATAATAGAACTACACTCACTGCTAGTTATCCACTATTATTTGCTACTTGCCACTACAGCACAAATATTCGAGTAAAATGTATTTTTGACAAGTACAGCAAAGTCAAAAGAACCAGGAGTAAATAAATCGCTGTTTGGATTTCCTTTTAACTTATTAAAGAGGTAACCATGAACCAATTTATGTATCCTTCCTGAATGGTGTTCCTTCTCTGAAATGGGGGGAAAATACTGCCCTCTAACAAGATTGTGAGGTTTTGTTAAATAAAAGCTGCTCACAAAGCTTGGCATTCAAATGCACAATACATGGCAATTTTCTTCACTCAGTTTACTGCATTCTGTTAAATGCTTCAAATACTCCATGCTTTCAGAAGCAAGGCAAGTACTTCCACATCGTCTTGACTTTTCGGGGAGTTGCTTATTTAAGCTATTGGCTCAATTTCAATAACACAACCTCGTTCCACCCTTAAAATTTTATTACTTTATTTCTCATGCCTGAACACAAACCTATGCCAAACACTCTGATTTCCAGAAATAGCCAGATCAACGCATCTTCATTATAGCCCTACAGTACCAGAAGAGACCGATCGTCTCAGACTTGCACTCGCGTGTTCTCCTGTAGCAAGGCCAGAAAGCTGCCCTGGTGTGAAACCCAAGCTTCATTTCTCTGCGCCCTGCTCCCCTTGCCCTATGTGCCCTCCCCTTACCCTGCTCCCCTTGCCCTAGGTGCCCTTGCGCTGCTCCCCTTGCCCTACGTGCCCTCCCCTTACCCTGCTCCCCTTGCCCTACGTGCCTTTGCCCTGCTCCCCTTGCCCTACGTGACCTCCCCCCTGCCCTGCTCCCCTTGCCCTCCCTGCCCTCCCCTTGTCCTCCTGCTGACATACGAAGGCAGGGAGGGAACCGCGAGCCCTCACCTTGTTCAGCTGCTGATGGATGAGCTGCTTCAGTTCGGAGGCTTTGTCTGCCGGGAGCGACATGTCGCGGGCCGCGCCTCGTCGCCGCCCCTCCGCAGCCAGGTCGCCCCAACGTCTGGAGCGCCGCACGGTACCGGGGAGCAACCTAAGTTTCAGAACCGTGCGGACAGCCCGCGCGCCGGCTCCGAAACACCGTGGGGCTGGACGGGGCGGCGGGAGGGTGGAGCCGCAGGGCGGGAAGTGAGCCCTGGGATGCCCACGGCGTTGCCTGACCGCCCCGACTGTTTGCCTTGGGCTCCTGCGCCCTTCCTCGGAGCACAGGCGCTGAACTTGGAAAGCCCCTGAGGACCCCACGCGGGGGGCGGGGGGACGCGGGGCCACGCCCATTGACGTGTCTACTCCGCCCGGCGGGTCCACGCCGCTTTCTGGTTCAATTCCCGCGGGGTGACTGCGCGTTCCCGCCGCGGCGGCCGCTCGCGTAGGCTCTGGAAACTCCCAGGACGACTGACTTGTTCCTTCCATCCTCCCGTTCCTCCCGGCGGCCATGTTTGTGCCCTGCGCTGAGCCGGCGCCCGAGCTGGCGGGCTTCACGCTTCTGATGGTGAGTCCCGCGGGCTGCCCTCGGCGACCGGCTCTGGGAGATGCCCACGGCGCCGCCTCCCGAGCCCGGGCCCGGGCCCGCAGGGACTTGCGAGGAAGACCACGCGCATTCCTAACGCCTGGTTTTCTGCCCTCCCCGAAGGAGAGGAGATGAGCACCCGAGTGGGCGGTCCGAATAGAACTCTGCCTTGTGGGAATTATAATTTATTCGTGTCGACCCTTTGTATTTTTATTAGCATTTCCTTAAAACGGAAAATATTGGGCTATTATCGATACATAGGGCATCGGGGCAGATATTTTCCATAAACTATTTCAAAAGATTGTTTCCCAGTTAGTTTTAGCATCATCTTAACCTAGCAAATTAGTGTCATGCTCAGAGATTATCTCTAAAGAAACAACATAACATGGATTCTTAAACCGCCTTTTTATTGTCTGAATTTAATCAAACGGATATTGGCTGTTCAAAATCTTAAACGTAATGATGATAATAATAGTTTTGCCAGTAACTTAGCATGTCCTTATCCGAAAGTTGACAGTATATTTAAAAACACATGTAAACAAATGTGAGCAATAAATGGGGTCCAAAGATGGGGAAAAGGGTACAAAAACTTTTCATTAAGAATCATCATTTTTTAAAATGTCCAGAAGATGAAGAATTGGGTGATAGGTCATTTCAGAAAGTTGGCTGTTTAACCCTGAGACAAAAAAGCATGGAAGATAAGGAAGCCTAAAGGAGTTTGAAATGACTCCTTGAGAATTACTACAGACAGAAAAATCATTTTTACCCATTAAGTGTCAAGTGCATTGAGCTACCAAGGAGGACTATGGCCTTTTTTGCCCTATCTGTGAACATAGACATTCAGTTATGTAAATCATACATTCAGTTTGACTTCTTGTAATAGTATTTTTAGTGCCCTTTTTGAGTTTACAAGCATGTAGATTATTGACCTATTGATAATTGGAAAATACTAAGTATGGATATTGGAAAATTGAAAGTTGTCAAAAATTAATTGGAACCCATCAAGATTGATACCTTAAGTATTAATGAGCTGGAATTAACCAGAAGTGACCATTTTGAGTCAGGCATTCCTAGTCAACTGTGCTAGGAATGACACATTGAATAGGAATGGCATTACATCCACTGTTTTTAAAAAAAAGATTTTTCCTGATGTTCAGTGCTGTCAATGCCAGGATAATATCCATAAACACCTGCAAGGAAGACCAGTTAATATCACTGCTGTTCAAATTTACACAGCAACACAACCAAGTTTCTCAGCATAGATGAGTGAGTGCTTCCTCAACTTATGAAAACATTTCAAGGGATATTCTGTCAATTCCTAAAAAAAACACAAAAAACTCACTGCCATTGAGCTAGTTTTGAATCACAGTGGCCCTATAGAGCAGGGTAGAACTGGATTTGTGAGACTATTTATGCAAGTAGGAAGCCTTACCTTTCTCCTGTGGAGCAGCTGGTGATTCCTAACTGCTGACCTTGCCGCTCAACATGTAACCGCTATTCCACCACTCATGAAGAAAGCAAAAAAGGTCAATTCCTCTATCCTTGTTTTTCACTAAAGTAGCCCTGGTGGCTCGTGTTGGTTACACATTGGGCTGTTAACTTCAAGGTCAGCAGTTCGAACCCGCCAGCTGCTACTTCAAGAGAAAGATGAAGCTTCCTACTCTTATAAGGAGTCAACAGTCTCAGGTTGCTATGAGCTGCCATCAACTTGATGGCAGTGAGTGAATTGTTTTTCACTAAAGCCTTCAGTACAGCTTGGGCCTTTTTCTGCAGTATCATTGGTTCTTGATCATATGTTACCTCTTGAGATGGTTGAATGTTGACCAGTTCTTTTTTGTCCATAGCACTTTCTACTGTATATTATACCTTTTATCTAGTTTATTGCAGGTAAAAATGATTCTCATTAGGAAGGAACCAGGAATTCCTCAGGGCCAGGAATTTTTTTTCTGATTTTTTTACTTCATCCCCAGTACCTAAAACAGTGATTAACCTATAATAGATGCTCAGTAAGTATTTGGTCAAATAAATGTTCTTGAATGTTGTGGAGGCCCCAATAGACATCTCAGTTATAGCTAATCAGTCAGTTTCTAGCTGTGATATAATTACGCGTAAAGATTCAGTACTAGTAATTTGATTCCTATGTTTAGCTTATATTTTAAAAATATTGCTAATTTCGATATTTATCAAATTTCTCTTCTGTGATTTCAGCCATCAGTATCTGTTGGGAATGTTGGTCAGCTTTCAATAGACCTGATTATCTCCACACTGAATATGTTTAAGGTTGGTTACTTCTATACGGATTGCCTTGTACCAGTGGTTGGAAACAATCCATATGCGACCACAGAAGGAAACTCAACAGAACTCAGTACAAATGCTGAGGGTATGTATGTTTTACTTCACTGCGGAGTTGTTTTGAAGTTGGAATAAACTCACAGATACTGTTTTGAAGCCAACATTTACTTAGTGCAGCTTTGTGTAGTCAGTGTGGGTGACCTATCAGACACATTTTGTCTTTTTCTCGTACTTGTGGCTTTAGGTCTTAACCTAAATGGCAACTCTCATGGATATAAATATATTTGTATCTTTAGATAGAATTAAAATGTGTGTTTTCCTTTTTTCCCCCCTACATGGGGGAACCCCTTATCCTCAGCTTAATTTTCTAACTGGCATGTGTAATCATTATTGTTCATACAAAGGGAGTGAGGAAACAAGAATTCCACTGACCTAATGTATAATATGTTCTTCCTTATTGAAACCTCATAGGCATCCAGTCACATTGTTACAGAATGCATAATGTGTTGATTAGGTCAAAAGATTCAGAGTGACTTGCCAATGCCTCCCAGTAGGGGTTGGCTTTTTCCTTCACATATTGACCATGTAAGACTTGATTAATTAGGGAACACAACTGATATTACACTAATGTTATTCTGTTGTGTGAAATAGTTCCTGTTTTATGATCCAAGGCTTTCTCCAATTCACGTGGTGCTGTTTTTATTTTTTTGTGGCTCACTACTGACCTCTCGGTCTTCTACTCACCATTTCAGAGTCAAAGCCAAATGTGTTGGAAAAACCTGAGAAGCCAAATGGATTGAAGGACAAAGAAGTATTTTGTTTTGTCTTAGTCTTATTAACCTTGTCGTTATTGTTAGTGTGCAATAAGGAAATCTACTTTTGAGAAATAACTTTATCACTGAAAGTTTTGTAGAAAAGGTTGCTTTGTTGATAGGAGGCTGGATTTCAGTTACTACGTAAAAGGGTCAAGGACTATAAATAGTAGGTTAATGGAATTTAAATGCTTTCTACTAAAAATAATAACTGTTACTTATCGAGTATTTATTGAATGTTTACTAGGGGCAGAAAGCTGTATGTGTTTATGTGCATTAATTTGATCCTCACAACTAAGAGAGAGCTTTATAGATGAGTTAACCTTGGTACAGAATAGTTACGGAATTTGTTCATAAGATGTGATTATTAGTTTAGCTTAGCTTGTAATCAAGGCATTGTAACTTTAATTTTGCTACTTCAACATCCTGCTCATTTACTCTACTCCAGTTAAATTCAGTTGCTTTGCAGTAAGCCAGTTGTACTGGTAAAGTCCTTTGATTATTTTATTCTGTTTAAGGTGTTTTGAAATATAAGCATTATGACATTGCATTCTCAAATATTTTTAAGTATGTATCTCTAAAAGATAACATGCTCTGACATAGCTAAAGTAGTAAGACATTTAACAAAATTATTAATTTCTTACTGTCTTCCTAATGCTATCCCTGTTCAAATTGGCTTGTTGTTAAGTGAAGTGGCGTTGGTTCTGACTCACAGCAACTCATGTACAACAGAACAAAACAGTAGGTTACAATATAATAGAAACGTAACGTTTATGTTCATTGGAAAACAAAAAAACTGCAACTTGCATTTTTGTGGCTTCGTGATTGTGACAGTCTGGAACCAAACTCATAATATCTCTAGAGGCATACCTGTAGTCCTTTATTTTTCTTCTTCACGAACCTGAGTCTCAGTGTCCTACAGAATGTTCCACCCGCTTCCTTTATCTGATTATTCCTTGTGGAGTCATTTGGCTTCTTCATCTACCCCTGGTTTTTCTATAACTGTAAGGTAGCTCCAAACTCTTGATTAGATTTACGTTAAAAACTTTGACTAGAATACATAAAGGGTGATGTTACTTTCATATTGAATCCTATCAGAAGAAAAAGAACAACTGTGCCTTAACAACAACTGTTAGTTACATTATCCCCTGATGTAGTATATCAGTGTACTAGCCCCTGACTTCAAATGTATTAAAGTTGGGCAACAAATGTACAAATATGCTTGACACAATGGATGGATGTCTGGATTGTGATAAGAGTTGTATGAGCCCCCAATCAGATGATTTTAATAAATAGATAAAATATATTAAAATTGCAACCAGTTGCACTTAGCCATCTGTTCTTTGTGGTTTTTATTTTTGTATATCTTATTAGTGATAAGTATTAATGTGAAATTTGCTGCTTTCATTCTCAGAAGCTCAGTGTTATGATTTATAAAGAAACTGATACTTAAAGGCAATAGTCATGATGATGATGACATTTGACACGTTAGATCTGATTAATAGTTGTCAAAATGGAACTCCATTTTAATTTAGCTACCACCTATTATAGATGATGTGGCACATTTTTAAAATTTATTTTTAATGTGCCACATTTTAAAGCAGTGGTTCTCAACCGTCTAATACCACAACCCTTTAATACAGTTCCTCATGTTGCGGTGACCCCCAACTATAAAATTATTTTCGTTTCTACTTCATAACTGTAGTTTTGCTACTGTTATGAATCGGGTGACCCCTGTGAAAGGGTCATTCAACCCCCAAAGGAGTTGTAACTCACAAGTTGAGAACCACTGTTTTAAAGCATATTTTGCCCACCCCACCCCCCTTGTAGACATATTTTACCTCAGTTGAATTGTGTGTGTGTACATGAAAATATTTTCTCTGAATTAGTACCTTTTTCTTAATTTCTAAACCAGCTTTATAAACATCCCAATGCTCACAAGACTTGTTGAGAGTATGACGTAGCTCCCAACGTCACCACACTAGAATCAGGGATATAGTCCTCAAAAGCATACAACCAAGAGATGTGATCCACTGGAGAATTTGCCCTAGTCTTTTATAATCTTTGTATAATAACTGGGAGTTTACCCCTTAGCACAGTAACTTAATTATGTGTCTTTTGGTACATATTGCATTTTCTTATGCTTGGTGGTGAAATTATGTCTCCTAGAGTTTCCCCCTGAAGAATCTGAAACTGCAAGCCCATTGGTGTTCAGAAAATTTTACATAGTAGGTCTTTTGAAACCTCCCGAGGATAACAGATGTACCTGTATTTTATATGGCTTACATTCTCTAACACTTTTTTCTTCTTTCTCAATCCTAGAGAATATTTCTGTCTTGCTGTCAGATAAAATGTAGCTGAACAAAAACACTTAGTTTCAGCTACACAATGTCATCATTCTTAGCTAACTTTTCATAAGGGAATCAGCGGGGGGAGGTCAGATGAGCAGGCATTCCCCCACTGAGGGCAATCAATTGCCAGACTGCTGTCTCATCCCTCCACAGGAGTGGGCCTGCTCCCTGCCTCTGGGGATAATGGACAGGCTCCTGTAGGAGGGGTTTTCACCCTACTGATAATGTTCCTATGGAGACCCAGAGACCACCCCCTAGACCACCCTCTCATTGCTGTGTAACCTATAGTGCAGCCCCTTCTCTACCTGTAATTAGTGGGCTGGCTTGCCAACAAAAGGTATATAGGTGTGAGCCAGCAATATAGATCTCTCTCTCTCTGACTCTGAGCTCCTTGCTGCTCACTCCCTGGTCACTCCCCTCTCCCTCTTTCCCTTCCCCTCCTTCCCTTCCCCCTCTCTCCACTTGGACCACCAAGCTGGGCTGAGGTGAGCAATGGTACTATGTAACATGCCTGACTGTATTATTGTATTATCTCTCATGCTCTCAATGACTTTAATATAATGCTTATATATCTCAACCATACAACTGTGCATTACTGAACCCAGAAGTAGTATTACTGAACCCGAGTAGTAGTATAAGTAGTATCAATGGGTGGGGGCTGGCCTTCACCCCCCAGCGCCAATTTTTTATTTAATACTACAGGAATCTATTTCATAAACTAAATGTGAGTGGCACATATTAAAGTAGTTCAAAAATATTTTAACAAAATGATCCTATTCATAATTTAATTTTTGAAAATAATTACAAAATTTCTTATTCTTCAGTTTTGTTATTTATTAATTTCTATATAACATTCATTTTTCTTATTGTTTAATTTCATTTTCTTATCTTTGTAGTGTATTTATTACCTTCAAAGAAGCTTGTGGCTCTTCAGCTAAGGTCTATTTTTATCAAGGTTAGTATGTTTTTTTGTGCCTTTTTAAGTTAACATAAAATAAGATGCCAAGTTCATATCATTGACAAGATAAAAAGTCATTTATAATGTTTTTACCATATTCAGAGTTAAGTTTAACAAAAGGTTACTCTACGGTAAAAATTGTCAGATTTCAGATGTATTACCATTGTTGCATGAATTCATAGAAAAGGATTGCACAGCTTGCTGAAAATGTTTGAGCAGGAGAATTTTGTAGGCTAGTACAATCCATTATCTCTCATGCCTCTAATTCTACACTTGCTCTGGTCTTCACTCTCCCCATACACTAATAGTTGTTTCAAACAGAAAGCCAGTGGTCCATTAAACCAGTTTTTCCCAAAGTGAGTGATACTGCCCATGTACTGGAACAATCCAGGAGGCTGCAAAAGCAGATGCTTATAGTTTACTTTGGACAATGAGCTAAAGTGCAAAAGTTTTTAATAGCCTGGAGGGCCGTGAGTAAATTTTTTTCTGAAAAGGGGCAATAGGCCAAATAAGAGTAGGAACCTGTGCTTTAAACTTAAATCTGATTACATCCCTCCTCTCTGTTTCACACACAATGAAGCTATAGCTTGGCCACAGACTACTGGGCCCTATAACTGCATGTCTGGTGTGCAAGACACTTGCCACATGTATGACGGGGCTTCAAAAAATACATAGAATTTCATTACATTTCAAATCCATTTTTCCACTAATTTTTGAAGCCACTACTAACTAGTTAAGTTTTACATAATTAAATAATTTAAAATTTTAGTCACAGTAGTCACATTCCAAGTGCCTGATGGTACATCTGGTTAGTAGCCGCCATAAAGGACATGGGCATCATCGCCCCAGAAAGTTCTACTTAATCTGTTGTCAACGCTTTCTATATTCCCAATGCCTGTTTTCTCAGTCACACTCATGTTATTCACACACAACAAATCCACTCCTATCACACTTTTGCACTCATTTCTCTGCCGAGTGCTTCATTTCAAATAGCTAAATGTTTCTTCTTTTCAGGCCTTGGCTTAAACATTACTTCACTAGAAAGGCTGCTCCCAGCCTATCCAACCACGAGGTGTTGAAGGGATCAGGTGTAAGGCATCATCAGAACAAAAAATCTTACCATAGTGAATGATGGGGGGAGTGCGGAGTGGAGACCCAAAGCCC